CATATTGATTCTCAGGTTCCTTTTCTTACTCTTCCTTCCCATCCTGGATTCTCCTCCTTTCCCAGTCTTCCTACTTGAAATTCAACTGTTTAAAAAGCCCTTAGTAAAAGCGACTTAGAGACAATTGTGGTGATGAAATAGACAGATGCTATTATACTCTCTTCAGTCTTTAACATATTTCTAGGTAATATTTTTGGTAGCTTTGAAGCTTATGCGTGTGGACAGGAACACTAAAACAACTTTATTGTATATTTCTTTCGTGATTGAGTTACATGAGAGTATGAAAATGGACAACCTTTCCCTGTATTGAGTTTTAGACACTTAATAGTGATTTAGTTTCTGCATCACATTTTATTTCATTTTGAAATGATAAATTTCTTTCCTTTCTATCTGCATATGATTGTAGTTCTGAAATAAAGATTAAGAAGCCACGATCTTTTATCAGAATAGAAGCCTTCTACTTTGAGGATCTCCATTAGAGAAATTAGACCTGATGTTTCATCAATTGACTTCAAAAACCACATTTCCTGTTGTGTTTTCGTAGGACAAAGAGGAAGAGGAAGCCTTTCTGGATTGGAGTGATGATGATGATGATGATGGGTTTGATCCCAGCACGCTTCCGGATCCTGACAAGTACAGAAGTGCTGAAGATTCGGATAGTGAAGATACCGATAACAAAACTAGGTATGTTTTTATCCCTGGTAGCTTTAAGTATGTGAAGCATCTCCTTTCAGTAAACCCAAAAATTGTTACTGAAAGTCTTACTCAGAGTGTTAACCTTTATTAATATCCTGGATAATTCTGCTACTATTCTAAGCCCTGCTTCTACCTCTAAGCCGTTCTACAATGCCCTGTGTTCTTCTGATTATTTGATTTAAAAACCAAACACACAAAAAATCATGCTATCCAGTCAATTCTGACTCTGTATAGGGTTTCCAAGGCAGTAAATATCGATGGGAGCCTCATATTTCTCCCATGGAGAGGCTGATGGTTTTGAACTAAGGACCTTGTGGTTAGCAACCCAGTGTGTAACCCACTATGCCATCAGGACTGATCACTTGATAGGCTTTCTTATTGTACCTCTAATATCTAGAAACATTGTTTTTGCATACTGTCAAATTGATTTCAACTCATAGTAACCCTATAGGAAATAGTAGAACTCCGTTTCCTTGGCTGTGATCTTTATGGACAAGTGCTGATGGCATTGTAGTTAAAGAACTGGCCCATTAACTGAAAAGTTGGTGGTTCTATCCCACCAGTTGCTCCATGGGATCAAAACGTGGCAGTTTGTTTCTAGTCATGGAAGCCTTATGGGGCAGTGCTACTCTACCCTACAGGCTCACCTGTGAGTCAAAAATGGCTTGATGGCAAAAGGCTTTTGGTAATCTTTATGTCAAAAGTTTAATGAATATTCCAAACCATTGAACATATTTAAGCACAAAATCAAGTCAGATCAAACCCACTGCTATCCAATTGATGGCAACTCATAGCGACCCTCTTGGACAGGGTAGAACTTCCCCCCCTTGAGTTTCCAAGACTGTAATTGATTATGAGAGTAGAAAGCCTTGTCTTTCTCCTGAGGAGCAGCCGGTGGTTTTGAACTGCAGACCACCAGAGCTCCTTCGAAAAGGGTATGTTAAACCCCAGAGAATTTGCCATTTTAGGAAATGGGTACTGGGAGTTCTAATCTCATTTTTCAGTAAGAACAACATGCTCAAAATATTTTGCAAGCATGACCCCTTCAGGATGAACTGTGGGGAGGTCCATAGAACAATTTAGAATTACTCTGCATTTTAATTTTGTACTCATGTAAACAATTCTTTTATGACATGAAAAATTCACCAGCCTAAAACTGCAGTCTTTCTAAGAGATTCCAGCATCATTGAAAAACAAACATAAGGATTTAGAAAAATATGTAAGTATTTCACAAAAGTGAAATAATAGATGTTCAAGGCACATTCCTCATCCTTGGAAATTGACCTCTGAGAGTAAATATAGCACACTTTAGGTGGTTTGTGCTTGATTGCTCACTTACCCAGCAGTGCTGCAGAAGAAAGGCCTGACAGTGCGCTGCTGTAAGATGATAGCCAAGAAAACCCTATAGAAA